GGCGCTGTCGGTTCAGTTTTACAGTATTACCAACAGAAATATCAAAAAATCTCTATGATTACTAACAACTATAGTTTCAAAATAAGAGAAAATAAATAAAGTCACTTGTGTAATTTTTGAAATTTCAGAGATTTTAATCAAAAGCAGAAATATGTAATTCTTTTGTTAACTTCCAATTTTAAATCTTTTGTTTATTCCACAGGTGTGTATGTAAATACTAACAACAAATTAGCTGCTCCAGAGTTCGTGGGAATGGGCATACGCATTGAAGATGACATTCTAATTACAAATAATGGACCTGTTCTCTTGACTGCTGGTTGCCCCAAACAAGTGGCTGATATTGAAAGGCTGTGTCTTAAAGTCTGATTTGGTTACTTTTATAAGTAGAAACAATTGTTTTTATAGAGATAACCATAATAAACATCCATTTATTCGAACATTATTAGACTGATACTGTAAGATTTGTCTTGCTAATGGATTTTATAAAAACTCTTGATATTCTAGAGTAAGAAAACGGTATTGCTCTTCATTATTTAACACATTTTGAATATTTTCAAACAAAAGGCTAAAAGATTTTTAAAAACTAAAGGATTTTCATAATTTTAATAAATATCCTTGCCCATGTTAGTGAGGATTATTATTGATACAAATTTCATTCATGTGTACAATACTCTTCTCAAATATTTTGTATAAATGCACAGCTGATAATTTCAAATCATTAATTTTGTATATTTTGTGGATAATTAAGAAGAAAACAAGAAGTGTTGTGAATAATTAAGTAGAAAGACATAATCATTGGATTTAGAATTTTGTAGAGGTAGGTGAAAGAAACATTTATTTGCTTTTGTTTTATTACCTTTCCTGTAAAATGAAAATGTTTTTGGTAACATATTTGAATCAGTACTTGAATTTATAAAATTGTTTTAAAAAAATTATGAGAATTTACTTATTCATCTTCTTGAATCAGGGAAGAATACCTATTAGTTTTGCTACTTTTTATTGATAAATTAAGGGTGTTGTTTTTTTTTCCTTCCCTCGAAAATGTGATTTGTATGAGAGAAACAGATATTTTTGAAGAAACAAGAACATTTCTTGATTTGAAAATGTAGATGTTACAATTTCTTGCTTATTTTCACGGTTCCCCTTTCCTTGGTGATACCTGTATTTTATATATTGAAACAATAAGCATGTGCATCAGAATTATTCTGTTATTGATCTTGGGTTTCTAAATATTTTGCCCATGAAATTTACAAAAAGTATATATTCTTAAAAACTCATTATTTTTGTTGTTCTAGTTCAAAATGCTGATCATTGTAGGTTGTATTTTTTGTTTTTGTTTTACATGATTTCAAATTGTGAAGGGGTCATAGGAAGTTTCAAATTCTGAATTTAGCCTGCCCCCCCTCTCTCTCTCTCTC